CTACTACTACAAAAGGTCTGAGCATGTTTATACCACTTCGAAATGTCATACTGTCCTTGAAGTAGTATAATTAAGGCCTTTACAAAAAACAAAAAATATAAGGCCTATACAATTGATCCCAATATCCCCATACTTGGCAGTACATGAACTTCATCACTAAAGATGATGATCATCATCATCATCATCTTCAATTATGAAGTTCCCCTGACTTTTAGTATCCTCTGCTTCTTACCCTACAATAAGTCTTGTAGCTTCCAAAAGTGCAATATCTACCTCAATTGAAATTGGAAGTCTCCCTTCTGCCTGCATCCTATCCTTTGCTGCGTGTGGTAGCTTGTAGTTGTTCCCCCCCGCACTTTCATTATTTCAATCATAACATACTGATAGCTTAGCCATACTTTGTTCAGAGTCATAGGGGTTACTTCTTTGAATGCATCATCAATTGCCTGTAACAGTTCATCTACTGTCTTAGGTGCATGCTGCTCTTTCAAAGATTGTATTGCCCTAAAAAAACCTAGGTCTAGGATGTTAAGGTCTGGAGAATTGGATGGCTGGTTAGTAAGTGTGATACTAAACCCATCAGCCATGGAAGCAGTCATATACTGTGCATCAGCCTGTGAAATGTGTGGGGTTGCATTATCTTGTTGTATTATGATTTTTTTGCTTAACTGTGGAGGCCATTTTTCCTTGATTGCTGGGAGGACTGTGTTGATTAACATGTCCCTGATCACTGTCTGATTTACCTTAGGGATAGGCTTGGTTTCCATGACACCTGCAGGTCTGTTTTTGCTTCTTCTTTTTGCTGCAACCTGTTCAACAAATGGAAACATGCCTATTTTTCCATCCCAAATGACCTCACCACTTTCTGAAAATAGGGGCCTACCCACTACACCTAGGGACATTACCTTAGTTATGAACCTCTTAGATTTGCATTCTCTGTGTGGATCAACCTCCTCCAAGGCCATGTAATATCTTTGAGAAGCTTTTGTCATGAAAAACCATTTTTCATCAATGTGAATGACATTATGAAATGTTGGAAAACTAGGCTTTTGTGGCACTGAATTGTCTATCTGCCTAAGACAGAACTTCAGTCTTTCCAATTTATTTTCATCAGTCAGAAATGGCTTTATTGCATTTGAGTGGCTTCTGAGCTTACCTCTGTGAACCAATCTGTGGACACTAGACTTTGATATTGAGCTGGCAACTGCTAATGATCTTATGGTAGTCCTTTTATGGAGTGGGATCTGTGATATGTCAGATAGATCAAATTCTATCCTTTTGCAGCCAGAATTACCACTCCACTTCCTATGCACATCTACTGCATCACCTTTTAACACTTGTTTTTTAACTGTCTCCCAAATGCCAGAAATAGTTCTTCTGGAAACATCAAACTGTCCAGCAAGTTTTTCGAAAATACCTTTCTGAGCTTTCAAATCCCCCAAAAAGTCCCTCCGACTGGACATTAAGAGTGCATCTGATATGCTATCTTTTTCCATGTTTGAAAGTCTTTTTTTTCGCACTGCATCACCCTCACCATCTGATATTACTATTTCCAGGTGTACGCCTCCTGGTGTGGAAGAAGCAGAAGGCATTGTGGGAGCTGAAGAAAACGTGGAAGAAGCAGCAGCTGTGGACGATTCCCCAAGTGTAGATGCTGCCATTTTTTCCCAGAATATGCGTGTGTGTGTGTGGAGTGTATGGTAGATTTGTGAGGAGGAAGGATTATATGTAATGAACTCAAACCTAAACTCCCTCCTTTTTTTGGGCCTTGCCGCCTAACTTATGCAGATTTAGATTTAATATGAATAGTGTTTACTATTCACATGTCATTCATATCTACTTTTAATCATTTCAATCCTACTTAAACTTTTTACCACACCTTTTACCCCTTTCTTTATCCCTTTCCTAACCCCATTCGGCCAAGGGTATAATAGGAAAGTCAACCCACCCAACTTTTTGCATAAATTTGCGATACCGGTCAAAACCGGAAGAATTTTCCGGGACGGAGGGAGTATTTGTTTTCTTGTGTCCACTTTTGTTGTTGGTTTTGACAGTTTGTTTGAGTTTTTTGCCTCTCTTTATGTCATTGGGTATGGTTGGATCTATGGGAATAGGTTTGGCTGTGTCAAGCCCACTACATGGTTAGCGATTCGTGTTGCTCTCTCAGGGGTGAACGTCTCTAAGTCTCACCATAGGGTTACAGTCGTAGTTGTTGAAGTTTCAGTTGGTGTTAGTTTTATTTTCCTTTTGCTTGATGTAATGATCCTGAATCTTTTGATATGAATAGAGGCCCGTTTGATGATAAAAAAAAAAAAGAAGTGGAGTAGAGTAGGCCTGGACTCAGGCCCGAACCGGCCCGGCCCGGGCCTAGGCCCGGTCGGGCCGGCGGTTTTGGAATGGGGGGCCCGGAACCGGCCCGGGTAATCCCCGGTTCCGGGTCGGGCCTCGGGCCTTGTTAATTTTTTTTCCTTTTCCTAGTTAACCCCCAACCCCCCCCCCCAAACCACCCCAAATGGCCCAAAATACCCAACCCAACCAGAAAAGTAAAAAAAATTGAAAAAAAAAATTAAAAAGGCCCGGAACCGAGCTCAAACCGGCCGGGCCGGTTCAGGATTTGTGGGACCCGAGCCCGGACCGGAACCCACGCGGGTCGGGCCTATCCGGACCGGTCATTGACCGGGCCACCGGGCCACCAGGCCGGAACAGTGTCGGTTCGGGCCGGTTCCGGGTCGGGCCACCCTGCCCGAGTCCAAGACTAGAGTAGAGCAATATCAACCGGCTGTGAAATCTCCGTGGTAGACGTCACAAGAGTGTGACCTCCATTGAGAGCAGCTGGAGACGAAGCCAAAGTTTGGGGGAAGGAGCAAGTAGGTGTTATAGTAGAAGAGGGAGTAGGTGTTATAGTAGAAGAGGGAGTAGGTGTTATACGAGAACTAGTTCAAAAATCTCATATACTCAGGGGTGGAAATAAGGGGGTTGAGACTCGAGAGGTCACCCGACCCCTTGAAAGTTTGAAAGTATAAAGATTGGAAATACATTTAATTTGATATATTATGGCTCCTTTACTCATTAAAAGTAAAAAGATATGACTTCTGAAAAATCAGCTCTATTTGAACTTAAAATGAGTAAAATTTGATGCGTAGTATTGACTATATTCCCAAATTTTATAAATAACGTATAATTCACACATTACGTACGTGACATGACTCAAGGACATAAAATTTATTTTGGGAGTCATTTACCTAATTTTATTAAACCAAAAAGAGATTACAGGAAAGAAAATGCAATGAAAGTACAACAATTAGGGAACTCAACAATTTAGAGAAGGTATTATGAAAGTTTTTGTCAAACAAGCTTGGTTTGAAGACGTGTTTGGATATTACTCGATGTCGTCTTTGTTCGTCTTTTGGATTTTTTGGAAGTGACTACAGTGAAACATCATCTGGTAAAGGTGATGTTGGAGCAACTTGTGTTTAAACCATCATCTGTTTTTTAGCTTTTGATCAAATTTGCTACGAGTGCCTACTTAATAGTCGATTTTTTTCTGGTAAAAATCCTAATATTAAATCGAGTAAAGGGGAACTATAGAGTTCATGGTAAGGCAAAGGGTCTAATCCGAGGCAACCATTGGTGCGGAAACCCATCGACTAAACCCCTATAAAGAAGCTCATAATATGTAGAGTTAATTATCAAAATAGGACTAAAAGTCATTCACTTTGCACAAATAGGACCAAAAAATAAACTATGTTTCCATAGGACTAATTATGTGTGTCTTGTTCAAATATACCCTTATACCTATTGGAATGTTTTTATTCATAATAAATAATAAAAAATAAAAAAAATTCGTAAAATAAACCAAAAAATTAATAAATTTTTTTTTTGAATAATAATAAATTTAAAAAAATTAAAAAAAATAAAAAAATTTAAAAAAAATCAAATTTTTTTTGTCACCGCCGCCTCTGCCGCCCCAGCACCACCACCTCTAGTCATTTGGGGAAAAATGCCACATTTATTATGAATTCCATATTTTTGGCATAATTCAGAATGATTTAAGATGGCAGAAAAAAATGTTGGCATTGTCAAAGAGAAATATGCTATGTTTTTGGCATTTTCCGAAAAAAATGGAAGTTTGTAGGAAATATGACATTTTTTTAAAGGTCGGAGGTGGTGGTGCAGGGAGGCGGTACCACCACCTCCTGTCACCGGGGTAAAAAAATGCCAAAAAATTATGAATGCCATATTTTTTGGCAAAAGTCAAAAGGATTCAAGTTGGCAGAATGAAAATGTTGGCATTCTCATAGAGAAATATGCCATTTTTGTGGAATTTAAAAAAATAGTGACATTTTTTACACCGATCGGAGGTGGTGGTACAGGGAGGTAGTACAGGCGGTGGGAAAGGTATCCATATATTTTTTAATTTTTTTTATGGAGTTTTACTATTTTTTATTAATTTTCAAAAAAAAATCTTATTTTTTATTTTATAAAAATTTTGTTAATTTTTTTCTTATTTTTCTATGAATTATTGAAATTTTTTCGGATTTATTATGAATTAAACATTTAATTATGACTTTTAGCTATCTTTTACTAATATTTAAAGGAAGGGTAAGAATGGAAGGAAGAAATGTGTATGTTTCCAATAGGACCACTATGGTCCTATTTTGGAATAAAAACATAGCAAGTCCTATTTTGAGTTTTTGCCATAGTTTTAGTCCTATTTGAAGTAATTTCTATAATATGTATGAAATATATATAAAAATTTATAACTCTATTAGTCCAATTTAAACTACAATTTATATAAGTTACATAAGAAACATTCAACTCGAATTTTGTTTATTAAAAACAATTATGTGTTTTCATTCCGTATATAGTTGAGTTTCGACCTCTTAGTCGTTTTCTCCGTCAACATATTCCTATGTTTATAGAGTTAACCAGACAAACAAATTGTTTAAAAATCACATACCCGCGCAAACACAATAAAACATATCAAAAGACCCCTTTTTCCATCCTTTTAATTTTCTTTTGGGATAAAAAACTTTAGATCATCATTAAATCAAGAAACATCTTCATAATTAAATCAAGAAACAGCTTCATACAGTAAAATATTAAATATACAGTGTGTTTGTGTGTGTATGATCCGTGTGCTAAGGCCTGCATTGCTGAAGAACTAGCTTGCGTCCTGATATTATATGTTCTGCTTCTGAATATAATCACCATTCTTTATGTGGGTAAAGTTGGGTTCTGATCTGTATCTGATCTTGCACAAACAAAGCACAAGCTAATACTTCGTGTATAGTAGTAGTAAATGAAATGTTTATGGGCGAGCAGGCGGATGGATGAGGTCAATTAATGAGTGTACCTCGATCAGCTCATCAGAAGGGGGTTTTGCGAGAAGGCGTTGAAGGTGCAGATTTAGCAGACAGCAAAGGCAAAGTGCGGGAGAGCCAAGAATCAGTCGGAGATTCAGGTAAAGGCGGTGGCAGTGGCGGGGAAGCTGCAGCAGGAAACACAAAGTTCATCATCATATCTTTATCTGATGAATGCTGCCTTGGCTTCCTACTTGCTTCCTGTTTTATGGCCGTGCCTTGATGCGACGAAGTAGCAGTAAGCTGCATCAGATCAAAGCTGCTGCTAGCATTATCAGTGTCTACGTTTCTGACAGCAGCAGGCAGCTTTCTTTTGTTGGTTCCTTCATCTGTGAAAGAATTAGCTGCTGCTGCTGCATGGCCTTCATGTTCTTTTGTCTTTGTCATCGTCATCATTTGAGAATTTCTGTTTGTAATTGAAGATCTCTCTGAATCTTGCACTTGCATTGAGGAGCTATTACTCTGATCATCCAACCATTTCTGAAGCTTTTTGCAGGATCTCATTGCATCAAGACCCGCCCCATTGCCTGCTGCAAATCTGCTTTTTCTAATAACTTCTACCTTTTGCTTACTTAGACCAGCCATCCATCCCTGTAAAAGTATTTTGTTCAACAAACAAATTTAAAGTATTAGGTAACTGTGTAGGTGGACATTAATCAAAGTTAACTCGGTTGTGGAAGTGAGGGAGAAAAACATGTGTGGTATAATTAAACTAGTGTCAAAGAAGACAACTAATAATTAATGCTCCAAACGCCATCCCTCGTCTAACCAAAAGAGAAATGCAAATAATGTAGAGGCGAATATTGAGTTACTCACCTTAACAGGTCGACTTTTAAAGATGCAATCACAAAGTGTTATTAGTGTGGGTTCTTACAACAATGAAAAATGAATATGGGAACATACCACGTTGGCATCATCATTTACTCTTTTTATGCAAGAACGAGCGGGGGAGTATGTGTGCATTTTATTACTTGGAGACGTGGGGAACACTCGAGTCTTTTCTAAAGTTGTTGCGGGTACGGGATCCATAATAAAAGTAGAACTTGTAACACAGAATGGAGGCACTGCTCCACAAGCTTTAGGAGGAAAATCAGTCGCGTCTGCTTCTTCTTCTTTTTCTTTTTTAAGGTCACGATGAGATCCGTAACAAAGTGCATCAAAACTAGATGGTTGCAGCCTACCTCTGTGCTTCCCTGCCCGGTTCATAGGCTTTTGGAGCACCCCTTGTTTTGTGAGGGACACTGTTTTAGTTGATGGTGGCAAGAATAAACCAATCATGAAATTGGTAGGAGGTGCAACAGGCGGTGGGCAGGCACTACTAGTGTCTGACCCCTTAAAGAAGACAAAAGTGGTTTTGGGAAGTGGTGTATCAACAACATGATCCCCCCAATACTGCCTGCTGCTGCTGCTCACTATAACTTGTTGCTCATCATCATCATCATCATCCCGGTTGAAACTTTTTAGTCTGCGGACGGCTTTATCAAAGCTGCAGCAGCATTGGTTAGACTTGGGTTTTCCAGGGCTATCTTCCCATACAAACGGAACAACTCCTGGACTCCTCACGGTGGACTCTGATCTATTAAGTCGAAGTGCCGCCCCCGTTTCCAGCTTCTTCGCTGAAACTCCTCGCCTTACTGATATAATTGGTTGGTTGAGTTTTAGTTTCTTCTCCTCACCTTGCACCATTTTCTGATTAAAAAGAAAAAGTTTTAAACACAAAGCATCAAAATAATCGTAACATTGGTGTACGTTTGTTTCATTGGATCAAACATTTTTCTATTTCTGAGAGATTTTAAATTCAGATGTTAATCTATGGAACTACTTCATAGAGGATGAGTGTTGTTTTTTTTCATAAAAAAGGACGTCTGATCTTTTAGCATATTGTTAAAAGAATGCCCCAATTTGCAAATGTGATGCTCGAAAAACACTTGTTCAATTCCACTCCAGTTTAAAACATAAAACTAACTCTTCAGTAATTCATCTTATTTGTATCACTAAGCAATACGTAAGTCCCAAAATCGGAACTCAATAAAGGCCGGCCAGGTAGGTTAATGAGGGCTTTTTCGTTGCTCTTAGTTCCAAATTAAATCAAGGGATCAATTGAAGAATCAATCATACTCCGTCTGTATCAATTGCTGTAACTAGGCATAAACATCTTGCACAACATAACGGTTGCTCGGTTATTAGAATATGAGTTCAAATAAAAAATGCACTCCCCATGAAAAGTAAGAACAAACTCGGTGCATTCAACTTATGATCTAAATATGCTAACAATTACGTATTGATTAAAAACGCGATGACATATTTGTACTTCAGTAACAAATCTCCCATTTTCAAATGAAAGGCAATAATAGTACTGCACATGAGAATAAGTGCAATCATTCACACTTTGCACGTAAACATCATCTCTTATTGGAACCACACTCATAATATACATATAGCGATTTGATTGACAAAAACAAAATTCAAATAAGGGAATAACTCATCCTACATACATACAATTTAGACAAATCCCTTCACAACACCAAATCTGAAAAGTGTCCGGTGTCATCATATTTTCACAGGTATAAATACAATTCAGATTGAACGAAACGTGAAATATTGGGAAATCCAATATGCTTTTCCTGAAAAACATAAATTTAATTACCTTGAGATAAATGGAGAAACTTGGGATCCAAGATAGATGTTCTTGATTGAAATGATTATGCCAAAGAAAACTTCACCCATATAAATACATATAAAATTGGTTGCAAAGCATTCCAGAAAGGTTAGCTACACAGAAACATTTAAGAATAACTCACTATACAGGTTTGTTTATACATGCATTTGGAATTTCTTGAGGGTGAGTTAACAGAATTAGCCCTGGGTTTTGATAGCTTCTGTAATTGGAAAACCCCATGTTTATGAATTCTTTAAAACAAACAGCATTTTGTGCCATATAAGCTGCACCGCTATAGAAAAAGAACCTTGTACAAGTGCAAAATTAGTAATAAATGAATACATAGAATTTCCACTAAAGATTTTATTGTCATGTCCGGGTTAAACTTAAATCATAAGCAACTCACTTAGCATTGAATATGGCACAGTTTGCCCTTACTATTAGCCTATTACTTCTGTACTTTTACAAGATAAAATATGATTACTTATTAATTTTTTTAAAAAAGTCACTAATCATTATTTAATTAATATAATTTTGATTCCTTTTATTTCTAAATCCTACCAAATTACCCACCTCTGCCCCCTTCAGCAACGCTTGCCAGCAACAACAGCCAATAAATTTTGCCGAATATTTTTTCAATTTTTAAAATTAAAGTTGTCAGAAAATTTTTCCCCTTTTAGTGCGGCAACAACATATGTGACAGCAACACAGCTATAGTAACATGTATTAGTACATAAAAATAGGAGTGGTATAATAAATTGGTTGCAAGTCGTGACATAAAAATTTGACAATAAAATCATATTTATCTAAACTTATTATCAAGTTAGTCACCTTTTAGGAAAAAAACTTAAGGAATAATGCCAAAAATATTACTCCCAGCTTTTCATTTGATAAAAGTAAGAAGGGAAAACTATCAAATAAGCCCTCATACTATGTCAAAAAAATCAATTAAGCCCTCAAACTAAAAAAACACTCAATTAGACCCACAAACTTTAGAAAAACAGTCAAATATGTATTTTAGCCTGCTAACAACCGGTGAGCCGGTTGGTATGCTTATGTGGCCAGCCACGTGTCTGATTTTAAAAAAAAAATCCATTTAATTTTAGAACCCCTTTTGGGGTGTTGACCCACTTCCCAAACGGCTATATAGTCGTTGGGTGGGTACCAGGGGGGGTCCAGGGCCTTGGGGGGTGGGGTGGGGCTTAAAAAAAACCTATAAATACTCCTAATTTTAAACATTTTTTCACACCTCTTCTCCAACTCTTCCTAAATCCTACTCTCTACTCATCTCCATATTCATCTTCTCAAATTCTCTTATTCTCCATTATATTTTATTTAACTATTTAATACTTATACAATTATTATATCTACTTATATATTAATTATCTACTTATAAATACATATACTATATTACTTATATTTCTTATCTACTTAATCTCTACTTATATCTCTTAATATATACATACATACATACATACATACATACTACATCTACTTAATATATACTTTATATATTAAAGTATTAAATATACTTTATAAACTATTAGTATATACTTAATACATAATAATATCTACTTCTCTACTTATATTTCATATATACTTATTTTCTTATTCTCCAATCTCTCCAAATCTTCATTATACTCTAATATTTAATTCTTGTACAATTATTATATCCACTTAATACATACATTCTACATCTACTTAATATATAGTTTATATATTAAAGTATAAAATATGAATGTATTACTCATCTTATAGTAGTATACTTATATATTATATACTATAAACATTATATTATATATTAGTTACACTTTAATTAATATCACTTAAAATAATTCTATTACCCATTTACTCCCATTAATTGCTATACACATTCATACATTTGTCTTATTAGTTACATTTTTATTAACATTACTTGATTAGTTAATTATTATTCCCACTAATTGTTACATTTTTCATTGTACTAGTTAATTAGTTCATTAGCATTCTTGTTACATTTTTCATTATACTAGTTAATTAGTTCATTAGTATTCTTGTTACATTTTTCATTATACTAGTTAATTATTATTCTTTTTACATTTTTCATTATACTAGTTAATTAGTTAATTAGTATTCTTGTTACATTTTTCATTATACTAGTTAATTAGTTAATTAGTATTCCCATTAATTGCTAAAACAACTCTACTTCAAAAAACTAGTTAATTGTCATTATAGTTAAAGTTATTATAATAGTTTCAATTTATATTTGAATGAAAAAATAGTAGTTCAATCATTTAATTAAAGTACTTAACATTTTATTTAAGTAGTTTTTACTAAATTAAAGTACTTGAAAAGTTGCAATAATTTTAATTTTAGAGTCACACATTAATTCTAGTCTGCACTAAATTAGTTTGAAGTATTAATTAAAATAGTTTTAATTAGTTGCATTACTTTTGTATTCATTATTATATTTGTTGCCAATTAATATTTGTTACATTTTTAAGATGGAAGGTGGTAGATATTCGGTTGATTTGGGTAACCTCGAGCGCAATCGAAGGAACGAGATTGGGAGGAAGAAATCCCGCAAACGTAAAGAACTTGCCGGCTCTTCATTTCAAAGCCGAGATGATTTTGAAACGGGTTACCAAAGGAGAGATGGAGATGCGATGTCCGAAGAACAACTACAACAAGAATTGGCCCGACATAATAACCGCTTTCTACAACAACAACAAATCCCGACGACCATTGACGAAGAGGAGCTTGAGGATGAAGATGCGGAGGAAATGGAACCGGAGACGGCCGAGGAGGAGGGTGCCGGCAGCCACGACGCCGACGAGCCTGCCTCATCCCAAACCGCCACCGGTAATAGAAAAAGTAAATCTGAACTAATGAAAAATAATTTTGATAAGTGGAAGGACGCACAAACCGGCTATTGGCACGCAACTTGCAAGTGGTGCAACAACAATTATAGCTTGGGGACCTCCGGCGGATACGGATCCGCCGCAAGGCATCTTAAGGCAAGCACCCCGTGGAGTATGCAAAATTAGGCGGGGGACGGGGAAGCAAACTCAAATATCGAGGTTTGCAAATTCTCAACCTTTTGGTAATTTCTCCTACAATGATGCACAAAATTTGACTGGTATGGCTAACTTAATTTGTGAAGAAAATTTGCCTTATATGTTTTCTGAAAGGATGACACCCCATCCCTGAGGGCCCCCCAACACCGACCGGACGGCACGATGGGAGGATGTAAATTGGATTATAATCACAATCTGACAGATAGAGAGTGGGGCTCTGTCCCCGGTACTTACAGAGGTCCTATGCATTTTTCAGCATAGTAAACCCTCATCGTAGTTGCCGGGATTCGAACCCGAGACCTAACCCTTGTGGCACTCCCTCGCTACCAGTTGAGCTATGCCCACCGGTTCCTTATATGTTTTCTGAAAGCCTTGCTTTAAGAGATTATGCACAAGGTAGTTTAAATCCTCAATTTAGAAGTTATAGTCGCAAAACTGTTAAGAAAGAAATTATAAGGCTTTATAATGCGGAAAAGGCAAGGTTACAAAATTTTTTTGCAATCTTTGATGGGCGTATTACTATTTGTTCTGACATATGGGAGGATGATTTTCATCATTTATATTATTTGGGTCTCACTGCACATTATATTGATGAGGATTGGAATATGCATAAACGTGTTCTTGCTTTTCGTAAATTTAATGATCGTCACACCGCTGAACATATTTATATTTTGATTGAGCGTATTTTAATTGAGTATAATTTGATTGATAAGGTGTTTGCTATTGGTTTCGATAATGCTACTAATAATACTGCTGCTATACCTAGATTGCGTGAATTGTGTGGTGCCAATACTTTGATGGGTAGATTTTTTTAATCAACGTTGTGCATGCCATGTTATAAATTTATGTGTGCAAGACGGTCTAAAAGCATTAGGAGATGCTATGGAGGTAGTCGGGGGGGGGGGGGGGGGGTAGACGTATTTGGGGTAATGGTCAACTTAGATTAAAATGGCAAACTTATTTGACTGAAAGAGGTGTGAGATATGTTGCTTTTCCTAAAGATTTGAGTATTCGTTGGAATAGTACTTATAATTTTATAAATTACTTAAAGTTGTTCTTAGATATAAAGATCATTTTCTGCTTTTTTAAAACAATGTGATAACTATATTATAAACTCGGCTGAGATCGACACTTGCGAAAAAATTTGTAATGTTTTGATATTTTTTTTAATGCAACTGAAACTTTTAGTCATGTTTATAAACCTACCGCAAACCAATTTATTCGTGAAGCTGTTAATCTCGCCGGTGCTTTTAAAGAATTTGAGAATGCCGTTTTCGTGAGTTATTTTTGTGATTATATGAAGGAAAAGTTTTTAAAATATTATGCGCATATTCCCCATATTTATGGTATTGAATTTATTCTCGATCCTCGTTTTCGACTAGCTAATTTGGAAGATTGTTTCAACTTCTATTATCTTGCTTTTTTTTGGTGAATTTCCAATGTATGACGATAACCCCATAGATCCGAAAACGGAATACAACGAGGTTAGTGATTTATTTTATGCCTTATTTAATTAGTTTCGTGCACAATATAGCAACGTTCCCCCGACACGAACATCTTCATCTAAAGGAAAATCGATTTTTAAATCTGCATTTGTCAATCTTATGAAAAAAAAACTAAAACAACTCACATCACTGAACAAATCGCATTGAATGAGATTACTTTGTATTTAACATATGAAGTTGATTTTGAAGAAAATGATGACTTTGACGTTCTAAACTGGTGGAAGTCAAAAGAAAGAACGTTCCTGATTTTAGCACGGATGGCTAAGCAAGTACTATCAATGTCGGTTTCAACAGTTGCTGTGGAACAAGAATTTAGTTCAGCCGGCAACGTCCTAACGACATCTAGATCGAGATTGAGCGCGGAGTCTCTTGAGACGCTTATATGCTACCACGATTGGTTGAAGGCCGCACGTAGAACTCAAGAAATGAGCATCACCCCTTCCCAAGATTTTATGGATGACTCAACAACCGATGGTGACTCTACCTATGTCGGAGATTCCGATTGATTAGTATTTTAGAAGTTATTATAAAATGTATTTTGCAGCATTTGTCAAATTAATTTGTACTTGTACTTCATATTTCAAAATTGTAAACTTGTACTTCATATTTCAAAATTGTAAATTTGTAGTTGTACTTCAAATTAATTTGTAAACTTGTACTTCATATTTCAAATAAATATGCATTCATTTTTTCATATGTAGCACTTCTCAAATTAATTAATTGGTTACAAACTTACGACTTAAAACTATTTTTCTAAAATCTAAAGGCGGTTTTTAAATTAAAAATACATTTACAATATGTAATTTGTTTAAATACTTATACACCTATTTTGTAACATTTGTAAATTATAAATCAAACCGCTTTTCTAAGTACAAATAGCTTTACTTAATTCATTAAATTAATTAACTTATTTTACCATATGTATAACTTTAAAAAAAAAAGATTTAATTTTTTTTTTAAAAAAAACTCCCAAACGGCTATATAGTCGTTGGGGCTTTGGGTGGGGGGCAGGGGGGTCCCGGGGGTGGTGGTGTGGGGAGTGGGGTTCAAAAACATCTATAAATACATCTATTTTCTAACATTTTTGTACACCTCTTCTCCAACTCTTCTCTAACTCTTCTTCATCTCCATCTTCTCTTATTATCCTACATTCCTACTTATACATACACCATTTTAAAGATATTAAGTACATCTTCCCTTATGCAAAACAATTTTGATAAGTGGAAGGACCCGAAGACCGGATTGTGGTGGGCAACTTGCAAGTGGTGCAAGAAAAAGTGTAGTGGTGCCAAACAATTTTGATAAGTGGAAGGACCCAAAGATGTATTTCGTATTGTTATTTTTTTCTCAATTCTCAAATATAGTTCCTATTTCAAATAAATGCATTGAACTTTGTTTTTAATAGGAATTTGTATAATCTATAATAATTTTAAAAAAAAATTGAACCGGCCCGGCCCGGCGGGAGGCTCGACCCGTGACCCGGCCGGGTGGCCCGGCCCGAACCGGCCATAGCCCGGGCCGGTCCCGGGCCAACCTCTACCAGACCCGCGGCCCGACCGGGCCTTGGCCCAGCCCGGGCCTTGGCCCAGCCCGGCCCCGACCCGGCCCGGGTCCATCACTACTTGGGCTTAATTTCCCAAGTAAGAAACTAAGAATGTTTTTACATAGAATGTTTCTTCTTTTTCTTCTTTAACATCATTTTTTTGTCCATTAACTTTTTTCTTTAGTAATATTCATGACAAAACCCCAAAGCTTAAATTAGTCATATTCTATATATATATATATATAACGTAAAAGTAATGTCAGTCAACTTCTATTTTTGGAAAATAATTTCCAACGATTGAATGGGCGGGCAGCACATTCATGTGTGTTTTCGCGGATAATCTCCAAAAAATAGTTTTTGTGATTCCTTATTGCCACATAACTGACTTTCTAATAATCTAAAAAAATTACGATTCCCAATCATCATCTTTAAATAATCTGATTATTTCTTGATCTCTCTCACATCATATTTTTTATCCTAGATTTTCCAGCAAATAACCTTACTAAATTTTGCATTTTTTATGAATATTACTATTAATATATTAAATGACACAAAGTTATCTGAAGAAAGAATTTGCTGTAGTAAAGAGTGTTGGAGAGTTTTCATGGAAATAAAATAGGAAAAATTTAATTTATTAATAGCTTTCCATATTTTTGTAACTATCACCCGTACTAATTGGGAGCGTAATCATGAATAGATTATATTCATTTTTATAGTCCATCGCAAGACCAAAAATGATGAAGAAAAAAAAGCAATCCCTCTCGGATTTGTATGGCCTTCACCACAGTGACTACTATATTAATGCTTCCTGTGACCAGAGTATTAATACTTCCAATGACCACAGTATTGCATATACATGGGACGAACGGACGATGGTTTTTTCATAAAATTCAAGCCTTTTGTTAAGCATAGATGATACGACCAAGGGTAGAGCACATATGTTGCATTTGTGAGAAGTAGTGACTTTTTTTAAAAGGGATAATGTAATTCAATAGTGATTATAGTGACTACAATCCAAATCGCAGTCACTGAATCCCGAGACACGCAGAGGTTTATCCCATTGCCGGGAATGTTAACCGGCCATATACCCTTTCTCTCATCTTATGCAGATCCGGCAGTGCCGTGGCTTCATTAACTGGTTTGCTATGAAAGAACACTCATAAACGCACCAACTGTTCTGTCATATGGCATGATAAATTCTAAGTAAGTTCTATGATAAATTCCAGGTAATCAAATAAATTTTTGAAGATAATTGTGCCAAAATATACATATAAAACGCAATTATTTTCAAAATTTATTTGACTACCTTACCAATTGAATTTATAGCTAAAATTTGGTGGACATAATCTACACTTCATGAACAACACTCTAAAAAAAATCAAAAAATTCCACTGGGTGCACTACGGCACTACCTCAAACAGAGGCGGCCAGACAGAGCATCCTGTCCCAACATGATCTTTTTCCTATATATATATATATATATATATATATATATATATATATAGAGAGAGAGAGAGAGAGAGAAATCTTCCGGTCAAGAAATCTGTTCGGCCTCTGTCTTTTGGGGCGGTTCCCGGTGGTATTTTTTGCTGAAAATTTTTGTGCGCGTTCTTCATCAAGTCTAGTTTATCCATACCAAATTTCAGCTAAAAATTCAATCAGGAAGGCAGTCAAATGATTTTTGGAAGTTAACTGCACCCTTTATATACATATAAAACACATTTAACTTCCAAAAATCATTTGACTGCCTTCCCGATTGAATTTTTAGCTGAAATTTGGTATGGATAAACTATACTTGATGCAGAACATACAAAAAAATAAGAAAAAAATACCATCGGGAACCTCCCCAAACGGCGGAGGTAGGACGGGGCTCCTGTCTGGACCGGCCTGGACAGGAATAATCCTGTATGTGTGTGTGTACATGTATGTATGTGTGTATATATATATATATGTATGTATATATGTATGTATTATGTGCTGGTCAGGTGGGATATAATAGAGTATGATCTTTTACTGAAATATAATAATAACTTGAGTTGAATGAAAACAAGCTCGTATATAGTCTCACAGAAGCTACCTCTATATCAAACTCCTCTCGAAATAAGGATGTTTGTACTTGGAGTGTATTCAGTCCTAGACCAGACCATACTTAAACGAACCAAATCAAACCAGACTTTCATTGTAATAAAATACACAGAGATCAGACATTTATCAGACAAGCTCAGACCAACAAATTTTAGTCCAATTAAAAACATTCCAAGACAAAACATTCATTCTTACCCATTATCCAAAAACCAAGCGAAGAATGGTTACAGTTGACGAGTCTTCTTCCCAACACTCATTACATCATCAATGGCTTGGATGAAAGTAGCCATCTTGTACGTGAAAAATCCAACCAGCATTGGAATCAACTCAAGGTGCACAAATCCATATTCCGGGACCACAATCCTTCACAAAGGCACACGATGTTGAGTCATGTTGGGTGTATAAATGTCAACTATTGAATGTAAAAACTAATCCTTAAGCACAGGGAGTCAAGTTCACAAATTGTTTGATTACGAAGGAGATGTGTAATTACAAGAAGTGTATAACAAAACCTAATTCAGGAACACAATCATAGATTAACCTGGTAATCTGAAAACCCAAACCAAACAACATAATCTCACATTACCTCCCTCTGAAAATTTTAAGCACAAGCTAAAGAAGGCAACTTTACAATACCTTCCCACTCTTGCCCAACCAAACTACCATTAAGTAATGATCTAGCAAACGGCTTTACCTGTTCCACCGGTTATAGATCATAACCAAGACAAGAGGAACCAATAGTCTAGGCTGCCCTATAGCTCCTCTGAAAGGGATACCAAAAATGCAAGCAGCTTATTGAATAAAACAAAAGGTAGTTCCTGCATTGCGGGGGGGACACTTAATAAAATTAATAACAAGATGCATAGTTTAAGATAACACATACTTAATAATGGCTTGAGGTCCCTGTGGTTGTATTGATTCCACACTGTTTCCTAGCATGCGCATGTATGCCAATGAACCAAGCAAGCCAACACCATAGCTGCGTACATTATACAAACATAACATTTTCTTTGAGACTTTGAATTGCACATATTGATAACATCTTTTTTAGGAGGTATGCATTGGTCCATTTACGCTAGTTATGGTTTGCTCACTTGGGTTTATAAAGAAAAAACTGAAAATCGATCTGAATAACTAGAACTGGTCAGTTTGAAAACATAAATTAAAAAAATGAAATGCCTATGGTTGGACTAGGTCTGGCTGGTCCAGTTCCAGTCAGATTGTTCATCCCTACTTGTAACCATTGGTTGGAAAATAATAAAAGCACAATGGCACAGTATTTTTTGACTGAATTATAAACGTACATACAAGTTAAACATGAGAATTCTAGTTCACAAACAACAACAACAACAACAACAACATCCAAGCCTTAGTCCCAAAAGATATTGGGGTCGGCTAACATGAATCGATACATGATATCACCACCAAAAGGAAAAGAAAGTAAATAAATATAAAAAAGATAAGCTAGTATAAAAAAGATAATACAAAAAATGAATATACATAAAAATGGTAAAATAAAAAGGATAAAAATAATATTTATATATAAGGATAAAAAACAAGAAAAAAAGATGAGGGGAAAAAATGATATGAGATCACTCCTCCACACGAATACCCGCCCTATGATATGAGAATTCCAGTTGACCCAACAACAAAATAGAAATAACAAAACAAGTAGGACATTATGACTTTAGAATTGTACCTTGGCAAAATCAAAGAAGTATACCTTGACCAAACATGACTTTTTTAGTGTGGGATGCGTTTAAATGAGCCAAGAGAAGCTGAAGTTCAAGATTGCAGGTTTTTTTATGGGAAATGTGGAAGGGTATGTAATTCCTTTCCCTGTTTGTTGGCTAGTATATTAGGTACCTAGCTAATTTCAGATTAATTCAAGTAGAGATGTAGAAGAGAAGATTGTGTAACAATGGCAGTAGTCGTATAACAGAAAAGAGAGAGAAATACAAAGGCAATTTAAGAGTACCCACTCTCCAAGTCCCAAGCCCAAATAACAATTCCATCCTCCTCTCTATTCTACCGTCCACCTCTATTTATACTAATTATACTAATATTCAAGGTTGTTAAGATCGCGATCTAACTCATTGAATCGCACGATTTTACGATCAGAAAAGGGAGGGTCGAGTTGGATCGCTGCTAGGATCGGAAACAGGCCTGGGATTGCCGGATTGCCGAGTAGAAACGTAACTCGTACGAATCTCGATCTAATCGAGCTGCGATTTCTCAGAATAAAAAATGGGAAACGAAGGTGGACTGATGTCTGGAACGGCGAGTTTTAAAAAAATTAAACATCGATGCCTTATGATGTTGCTATCACTTTTTCTATAGCCAGCAGCTGAGGCAAGGGCATGGTTACATTATGTTTCACTAGAACCTGGCCAGCACCAAGTGCTACAACCCCTACAGAGTCATTCTCATGTGCCAGGCCATCTATAATTGCAGGAAGAACCATTGATGCTTTTTGATGAGAATGAGAACAGTTTTGTATGCCATCTGAAACAACCTCCAATATCGAATATATTCTTCCTGAATGAGTAGCAACCACAATTATACCCCTCCCACCATTTCTGAAAACTGATATAGGAGCCATGTGAATCTGCTCTATACCTGCAATATCTCGGCTGGGGGCCTTGACCCAAGGTTTCCAACAGATTGTGTCCGACGGTAACGTGGCTGAGCATGCCACGTGACGAGCGATGCTCTAGATCCAACCAACATAGGAGGGAAGAAATCTCTCAGCAACTCAGTCGACCCCATCGGCAAGCTGGGAGGGGTGCCCAGCAAGGGCGCTCAAGGCAGACGGAAGGAGGCGAGTCCTCTCTCCAGTCTCCACTCTTACCGGGCGAGCAGTCGGACTAGTTCCCTGGAGAGGCGAAACGTGGGGCCCCGACCCCACGTGCGTGAACGACTTGGGGGCGCCATTGGACATGCCCAGCCCCGCGCTGAGGGTCGACAGAGATTGGATGACTTGAGAAGACGAGTCATCGGGGGGAGCTTTACACGGCCGACCTTCGGATTCCCAAACCTTTCACTCGGGCGGTGATGGACGTGTCGTTGCCAAGGGGCTACAAGCCTTGCAGTATCGAAGCATACAAGGGCACCTCTGACTCTCAGCATCATGTGTCCCGATATCTCTCATACATGATGATGATGGGATACGAGGATGTCATCCGATGTCGTGGCTTCTCGGCCACCTTGGACGGCCCGGCTCGTGAGTGGTATGACTCTCTGCCTGACGGGAGTATCATGAACTTTCATGAGTTGGCTCAGCCATGGTTTTAAATTGTGGTTGGGATCACAGATGCAGCCATTTCGTTTGCGACCAATGCGGCTGTAGCGATGCGTATCCAAATTTCAGGACCCTGAACTTCATGAACGTTGCTATCACTTTTTCTATAGCCAGCAGCTGAGGCAAGGGCATGGTTACATTATGTTTCACTAGAACCTGGCCACCACCAAGTGCTACAACCCCTACAGAGTCATTCTCATGTGCCAGGCCATCTATAATTGCAGGAAGAACCATTGATGCTTTTTGATGAGAATGAGAACAGTTTTGTATGCCATCTGAAACAACCTCCAATATCGAATATATTCTTCCTGAATGAGTAGCAACCACAATTATACCCCTCCCACCATTTCTGAAAACTGATATAGGAGCCATGTGAATCTGCTCTATACCTGCAATATCTCTAGCCTCAGTCTCTTTAGCCTCAAAATATTTTTCAGGGAGAAAACTGTTCCTCTTGTTTGCTTCAAACAATTCTGATATGCGTGTGAACAGTGTTCCAAACAGCCCCTGAGAGAAACATTCTTGAATTCTCTTTGCTTCCCTAACCGGATCTGCATCCAACTTTCTTAGCTCGAGTGAGGAAAAAGAAGCCTGAAAGATTTTTCTAAGCAAGTAGGGCTCCATTTCTATATTTCCAACACCATCATCTAGCTTGGATTCCATTAAAATTCCACAAGTGGAACAGTTCACTTCGGGATCATTGAAGCATAAGACCATTTCATAAGGTTGAAAATTTACTTCAGCTCCCATTCCATTACCAATTTCTGTTTTGACAGATAAATCCATGAGTTGTTCCCTCTGGGAGACCTCAATTACAGCAGCCTGAATAATAGGGCCCAGATCCACACTGATTTTACTCAACTGGTATTCAAGAGCAGACCCCTCATTTTCATTGCTTAGACCATCACACATTGAAGTTCTTGAGATACATTGATCACTGTCCACTAGCACATAGCAATACCCACTCACGTGGTATGCATACTCATCATGCCACCCCCCTGAGTTAATAGATATATCATTTCCTTTACGAAAACAGGACCAAGAGCTCAGGCCAGAAGACAAATCATTTGAATTCAATCTCAGTCTCAAGACAGCATGAGTAAAAAATTTCATCAAGTCATCATTAGAAAGTATAGTTGGCACCAGTAGGTCCTGGTAGATGATCAATGAATAGCAATTCGTCGTGTTCTCAACACCAGATTCTAACACCCAGATGCTTGAATGAACTTCAAGAACAGCCTCTCTCCCAATAGTCAACATATTTAAAGAACCAAAATCATTCAATCTTTGTTGCTGATGCTGGATCCTGGAAGAATCAAGATAGGATCTAACAATTTCCTTGTAAGGGCCACACATACGTAAACGGAATTCAACTGCTGGGCTTCTAGCCATTGATAGATACCTCCAGAAAATCCAGAGCAATTACAGAAAGAGATCAAGAAACAATGGAAATCTTTATTGAAGAAGATGAACAGAAACAGTAACCAAGGCCGAAGCCCCCCAAAGATAAGAGAAACAGACTTCTCAGATCCCCCAAAGATTATTATTACTTCTATTATTAGTCTAATAAGTGGGTTCCTATCAAAACTCCCTCCCTAAACAACCACCTTGTCCTCAAGGTGGGATGATAGGAACCAAGTCTGGAATTCCGCTTCCTCCTGGTGCCTCTCCCCTTCCAGTACCTCGCTGATGGTGGTATAAGAAGTTCCCTCAGATTCCATCCTATCTCTTGAGTGAAACATCTCACTGAATAGCTCATATAGAACTTCATCCACACACATGTCAGACGAAATTTTATAAGAACTTGCATCATACTGTGTTCCTCTTTTTGAATTTAAGACTTCAACAAGCTCCAATGGTATTCCCCCATCATTAAACAGAAGTAGCATTTGTCCCATTACACTGCATAGCCAGATGTCTTCTTTAAGAACATGCCTATTTTCCTCAAGTAATGCACCCATCAGCTGAAATGCAGGAATATCCAATGCAAATTTAAGGGAAGTAACAATTTCCAAAGGATCATAAAGCCAGTTAAAACCATGGCTGGTCTGTCTTAGATAAATTTCTGGCACTCCAAACGACCCTGCCAGGAAACAGACCGGTTCACCATAGAAATTTTCTGAAAATTTTTTGTGTAACAACAACGTCGCCTAGAGCTTGCTGGTAACTCTTACGAGCCATCCTCTGTAATAACCTTGAGAAAAAATCAGAAATCTCATGAACTGATAGGCTATGAGCTGTCTTTGCACAGATGTCTCCCAACCTTAGACGTTTTTCTGGTGCTTTAAATGAATTATATAGGCCAAGCTTGTGGCAGCTTATCTTACACTCAACCCTTAACTGCAATTCTGCCACTTGTATAAATGACTCCTCAATTAAGGGATCCCATATTGTATCATAGCCGGAAGACTTTATCCATTTACCTTGCACTAATTTGGATACCTCAGCAGGTAGAGAACCAACATCATGAATTGTTTTGTTGTTTCCTAAGACGACAGCATATTTCCCATAGAAAGGATAAGCATGGTACTCCTGAGTCTCTGGTTCCATCCTCCTTTTATCAATGTATGAATTTTCTGAAAACATTTCCATTGATAGACTTTTGACAAGAACAGTTTTATCTTCTGCAACTTTCTTGATTTTAAGTAATCCAGTTTCAGAAGCAATTAGGACTCTACTACCAAAAGAACATGGTTGAATAAGCTTGTCAACCATAGAAACTTGTCTCGGAATTAAATCCAAATAGTCTCCCAGATTAGGGGAAACATAATCTGACCATTGAATATCCTGTCTTTTCTCCTTGACTTCATCTTTCTTATTCCTTTGCTTGATCACAGGTTCAGTTGGTTCCATCTTGATTACATCTTGATTACAGGTTCATTTGAAACTGATGATTCAGCTGGATTCCACTCAAGAGTTGGTGTCCTCAATGAAATTTCCCGCATAGAAGCTTGAGCTGATTCGGAAACCTGTGACAAAAGTTTTGATGACATCTGCAAATCAGTAAAAATTCCTTCTGATGACGATCGAGGATGATGCTTAATTAGCGAGCTGGGCAATGTGGTACTCGATTTCGAACATGGGGTAACAGTACTTCGTGTAGAAGATTTCGAACTGGAGGAAGTTCTTCGTGACCTCAAGGATTCTTGCCTTTCTGTCCTTCCTGTCTTCTGCCGGTCTTTAGGTGGAAAATCCCAAATCAAGTCTTCCTTTAGAGCCTCCCAACTATCTTCTCTCTTTTGAAAATCCCACCATTGAAACCAGTCACACGCTTCTTCCCCCATAGCCTTTGCTGCGAAGTCCACTTTAAATCTTTCTGCAATAGCTTGGACTCGGAAATATCTTTCCATCCTCTCTATCCATTCGTACGCTTCATCCTCGTAGAATAGAGGTAATTCCTCCATCTTTGAACTAGTTGACTTCCGAGAAGCGACTTTAGACGAATAATGTGAACTGATGTTCGTTCAGGAAATCTGCGAACTCTGATGCGAAGAGCGATGATAAGAGTGACGCGAAGAACTCTGCGAATAGCGATGGGAAGAACTTTCCGAAGAGCGATGCGAAGAATGATTCGCATGGTGCGAAGTGTGTGATGTATGTCGCGAACGACTCTGGATCTTACTCTTCAGCTTCACGATGTCCGCCTCCGAAGAGCGATGCGAAGAATGATTCGTGTGGTGCGAAGTGTGCGATGTATGTCGCGAACGACTCTATACCTTAGTCTCCAGCTTGGAGTGTGCCAAGGTCGTTGCCATAGTCGCCATTGTTGCCAATGTTTCTTTTTGTTTTCTTTCCAGTTCGTTAATTCTTCCTTCCATCCTGGCACGTCTAAATCATCCAGCGAGCAGAACGGCTCAGATACCAATGATAGATACCTCCAGAAAATCCAGAACAATTAAAGAAAGAGATCAAGAAACAATGGAAATCTTTATTGAAGAAGATGAACAGAAACAGTAACCAAGGCCGAAGCCCCCCAAAGATAAGAGAAACAGACTTCTCAGATCCTTCCCAGTCCCAGACTAAACGTTCAAAAGCCTCCTTCTAACTCCCCCTTCCTGTCTATTTATACTAGAATACTCACAGACCCTTATTACAAATATTATTATTATTACTTCTATTATTAGTCTAATAAGTGGGTTCCAATCAGCCATAGAATAGGAATTTGCCAATTCAGGATCATTCAACAAGAATAACAGCTGAGAGGTCAATTTAAACTTCGGAAGTCCTTCCATTATATGCTTGAGGTCAACAGGCAGCATTTTAATATGTCTCACTTTCTTCTGTGTGATCACCAAGAATGGGAGATAGAGTTCCTCATGGCAATGGAAGTCAAACGCCTTACCCCTACTAACCAAATAGTCCAAACCTATACTTGTTTCTTGATTAGGTATACAAACTGTTGGCATTCTCTTTACATTTTCACCAATTATCAAGGCCTCTTGGATGATAGCAAGATTAATTCCATTGTCAAACATTATGAACATGTCAATATGTCATCACAACCATCAGTAGTATAACCCACTTTTTCCTTCCAATTTCCAGTAAGTCCTACCCCCAATCTATCTTGAATGTTCTCAATACAAGTAACATCCTCAAATCTGAAGTCGTCAATCCTATTCAGCCCTTCCAAAATTCTCTTTGATGAATGGATGTGCTCAATGTTCCCTATAACCGTCAACTCACATTCTTGATCTCTTCCCAACAAAGATTTAAAATATTCTGTGTTTCTTTCCAGTACAAGAGCATACCTTCGACCCTCATATGTAAGGATAGATGGGTGATACAGGCCCTCCTCATCAGCCCCTGTGATAGTGTTGTTCAGTTCCCAGACAAGATCATTGTGGTCAGTACGATTTCCTTCCTGTCTGTAGGGAATATCAGGTTTGCGTGTCTGCATTTTCAGGATTATCTGTTGGAAGCTCCATGGTTTGAGTAATGTCATATTCTGGATCCGGCTCAGGAATTAATGGTGCAGATGTCTTCGACTCATCCTTCAGTGTTGTCGATGGCGATGGCGATTCACTTCCTGATTCCATGGGGTCTATAGCTTGCGCAGGATGAGAATCGTTGGAGTTCAGTGTCGTCGCTGAGATTTGCGCATGGTGAAAATCGACTTGTGATGACGATGAATGATGCTCGGTTAGCCATAGTGAACTGGTAGAAACAGTTAGCGCTTGAGATGAAGCTTGCAAACTCAGCGAATCAAGTAGCGACAAACTCTGAGAAGTTGATGAACTCTGCAAATGTTCTTGCTTTTGGAGTTCCGGCAGTGCTTTATGGTCCTCAGTCGTCCTCGCTCCTGCCGATTGTTCCGCTGCAATATCAATTTGCGCAACTCTGCCATAGCGTTCCGCCTCTCTTCATGAAAACTCTCCAGTTCGCGTTACACCTCTATGTGATACTTCTCTAGCTTGCGTTTAAAATTTTCCAGCCTAGCTTCCATCGTTCCTCTGTTTGCGACCATAAACCGGTAACAAAAACGTTGCTCTGATACCAATGTTAGGTACCTAGCTAATTTCAGATTAATTCAAGATAGTAGAGATGAAGAAGAGAAGATTGTGTAACAATGGCATTAGTCGTATAACAGAAAAGAGAGAGAAATACAAAGGCAGTTTAAGAGTGCCCACTCTCCAAGTCCCAAGCCCAAATAACAATTCCAACCTCCTCTCTATTCTACGTTCCACCTCTATTTATACTAATTATACTAATATTATTATTACTCTCATTTATTATTATTCTATGTAGGTCCCTATCATAGTAATAACAGGAAGTCGGGAACTATAGGACAACATGAAGGAGAATTTGATATCGATCTTAAATACTCTAAACTTTATAATGATTTCAATAGAGTTAAATGCTGTTCATTCTGCACAAGGGTGATTCATGGATGTTTATACTTTATTCCTAGTTCCTGATAAAAATGAGTTCTTATAAGCAAACAATCATTGATAGTCAAATGAGAAGTGAAGGAAAATCTACCTTGCTGCAATTTCAGGAGAATAAGATACATATGCTGAAAGAACACCTATATTGCCAATGCCTAGGGTGAGCAGCTGTAGCTTGTTTTTTAACTGCACTAAAGCATAAACAAAATTACTAGAATAAGATGGATAATTGGGGATAATAAAAATATTAGGGACCCCCCAAAAAAAGAAAGGGTTCAGAGTATACCTTGAGATACTCCTCAATAGACTGAGCCGCCATTACTTTGGGATCCTCGTTTGGACGCCTCAATTCTCTGAGCATCACATCCTGGGACATTGGGAAATTAAAGTCTCAATGAACAGTGTGTTGTTATTCTGTAACCAAATGAGGAAATATTAATCATCAAAAGGGTATAGAATTAATAAGTTTTAACAGTAAAGATAAAATGAAGCGCGACAGCATACACTGCCACCTATTGCTGCCTTAGTAGCTCTGTCCCACTTCTCTTGCTCATGACTTGTTGGTGTTGGTCTCCATCTGTGGTACGTGTGATTGCCATTCTGCAAATCCTTTCATTTTAGAGCAGCAATAAATTATTTAAACCCTAAAGGTGGAACTTCAAAAAAGGTGGGGATCATACTTGAGTTTCCTGAGCTTTTTCTCCTAGCAATGATTTTGAAGGTGATGTCAGCAGCTCTTTGCTCAAGTCCACTTCCAAGCTTTTTTAAAAGTTCAATGCTATTGGCATGAGAATAAATCATGACACACTAAGAGCCAATTTGCATGAGTGGGGTGTTTTAGAGGGCCGAGTCTGTAAGTTCATATGAATTTGAGATTTTATAAACTGCAAGGAATAATATTGTTGGTGATCATATAATATTATAATATTTTAAATAAATACTACCTCCGTCTCAAATTGTTTTGCAAAGTCAAAAAATTTTGGTCAACCAATGTTAAAGTTAAATCCTCCATATTGATAATTAATTCAATTTTAATACACAAAATTTTCATATTCAGAAACTACATTAAAATCTCTATAGAGTTGTAAAATCCAAATTAAAATTTAATTAAGAATTGATATCCTAATTAAGCGAATACAATGAATCTATTTGACCCAAAAAAGTCAATTTTGCAACTCAATTTGGGACAAACCGACTCTAAGGAAAAGGAGGAAAAGAATTCATACTTGTCAAGGTTCAATACACGATTTATGCTTAGATATCCAGATGTCTCTTTCTGTTTGGAACCAAAATCAGACTATATGAGCATACAAGCTTTAAGGAGAATAAACACAAAACAAAACAATAAGCCCGTAGTAGTTTGTTTCCACATATAGAACGTTGCATTGTTAAGCATACAGCTTCTTCACAACATATTGCTACAAGATCACCTCATACGAATCAAACTCAAAAAAATCAGGTTTAGATATTTGTCCAAACTCATTTCATTTATATATTTCGGGTATAGTACTATATAAGATTAAAGACTAATAAATCTAAATAAATGTAAAAAACTAGTCATATTCAAATTTGACTTTCTATGGTAAAACCAAACAACAACAACAACAACAACAACAACATCCAAGCCTTAGTCCGAAATCTAAGTGAGAGAATTTAAGAAGAAAGAAAGAAAGAAGATGACTCATTTCATTAACGGAGGCTCTGATCACCTAATGTACATCAGATATAATATATATGTGTGTGTGTTACTAACTAGTAACCGATTAACAAAAGATCATACTAGAAGTTTAGAGAACATATTCTTATAAGTTGACTCAGCTAAACTATACACGTATGCTAGGTGATTATTGAGCTAGATATGCTTCACAATACCCCCAAGTTGAACTTGGTTAGGATAAACGAGTCCTAACTTAGAAATGACTGTTGATGATGCTTAACACCCAATGTTTTAGTCAAGACATCAGCAATTTGGGAACCGGTGTGAAAATGATATGGTGTTAACAATCCTTCTTAAAATCTCTTGCTTATAAATGACAGTCAATACGTGGGTGTTTAGTCTTGTAATGGAACACTGGATTTTCTACCATGTGCAGAGCAACCATATTGTCAGTTTGTCACAATATAAACGAATAGGTTTAGGGATAATTACATGTAGCTTGGTGAATAAACCATCAAGCCAGACCACTTAAGAAGCTGTAAACACAAGCTTCTGTATTCAGACTCAGTAGTAGATTTACTAACACTCTTTTCTAAACTCATGGGCATTGTCAAATTTGATGCTATTAGTTATCCGTATGTTATCTAATGCGGTAGGTTTGGCGTCACGTCCCCCTACCATGTAACTCTTTATGTTAATTAATAAAGAGGTAAGGTGTTCCCTGGCAAAAAAACTATGAAATAGGCCAAGGAATATGAATGACTGGTCGTTCCCAAAAATATGCATTTTCATGATATGAACGGTCAGTCATGAAATAGGATCCCCAATCTGCATCACAAAATGCAGATAGTGTAAGAGATGAGTCCGCTGGATAGAACAATCCAACATTGATGGAATATTTTAAATATTTTGACCAAAAAAGGGCACCTTGCATATGGGCAACTCTTGGTGCATTATGTTTGGGGAAATTAAGTAACATGAAAAGCAAGAAACAGTCAGTCGTTTCTCGTTTCTAGAAGCTCTAGCTCTTGGCATATATGAAGGGATGTGGCTGAAAAGATTACTTGCGAACTGGGAGTATTTAAAGAAGGGTCTATACAAATGCTTTGTGACAACCGACAATCAGGCTACTATTAGCATCGCAAAAAATCCAGTTCATCATGACAAAACTAGGGATATTGACATTGACAGATGCTCCATTACTGAGAAAATAGAGAACTCCATTACTCAAACCTTGTATACCTTTTATTCAAAAAAATTCAAACTGCTAACATTCTTACGGAAGCTCTACCGAAAACCGTTTTTGAAGAATTAGTTAGCAAGCTTGGGATGTTTGACATTCAATACCCAGCTTGAGGGGGAGTGTGGATTTATTTCCTAATTTAGAGAATAGATACTGCTGTACTTTAAATCTGATCTAGTATTAATACCAGATATCGTATATTTTATTCTTTCTAGAATAGGAAATTCTATTGTTTAAATTAGCTTATTGTATATTTAATCTCTTGAATTCTCTCCCCAATAGGTTGTATAAATATCCTGTCATTTTGAGATTACAAAAACATCACAAATATTCAGATATTCGCAACATCTCTAATACCATTAACTTAATATGAATGAAGTGACACGGGAGAAAATATAAAAATAATGAGAGAAATTTTTAATTTTCCCCACAAGGTCTATGTAACCCTTATAAACTAAACCTACATGGGATACCGAGGAAAATTTAATAAAAGTGGGTTAGAAGTGATTTTAAAATATTACTAGTAACTTAAAATTAATTGAGGTAATTGTTGGCCCTCCACACAAATTATGAGATACGAGTATAAATTAGGTTTGCCTAAGAGAGGCCACACGAGATGCCCTGAATATAAGGCCAGCCATCCATATATATATATAAAAAAAAAGGTCCTTTACAGAGCTATCAGAAATACAGGCGCGCTTTAACAGTTCAAACCCTCCAGAAACAAACAACTCAAGAACAGCCCGTACACACGGATGACCATGACAGCCAATAATTAATAATTTTCATGAGAATGTATTTTTGGAAAGCAAAAGATCAGACCTTTGAACAGTTAGCAGAATCATTACAACCATTTTCAGAAGGGTCCTGAATGAACTTGTTCATATGGCCCATGAATTCTTTGTTCCACATAAAATCATCAGATGTGAGAGGGTCCTCGTCGACGCCCAAGGACATCCTGCGCGTGGTGGTGGTGGATGGGCCGCCGTAACCCCCCTGTGTAGCCCCAGGGGACAATTTCTCTGACTTCATAGGCAGTATAATCTTAGACTGCTTTTGCTCCGGCCGTGGCTGGGATGTGGGTGTAGTAACGGCGGTCACCGACAGGTAGCAGTTCAGTGCAGCCATGCTCTGTATTCGTACAAGTAGATGCAGGCGTGTTCTTGTGGAGGTAGATGAATGATATATAATAATGGGGTTGTTTGGACGAGTTCGATTTTGTGATGTATTCGCTAAAAGCAAATCTAATTAATTTAAGAGTGAATTCTCTAAATATAGGACTAAAAATGGTCCAAAAAATACAAATAGAACTACATTTTTTGAAGAAAAAATAATTTTAATATCTCAAACATTGAAGGGGTGTGAGGTAAATACTTCAAACTTATACATGTAATATATATACCAAACTTTATATAAAAACTATGTTATCAACATAACCATATACTCTGTATTTTTTTCATAAATGTAATTTTATAATGTTAAGTACATAATTTTAAATACACAAAACATTTATGAGGATGTAATTAAAATCAAATTGTGTCGAATATAATGTTATTTATTTCACGAATGAAATTGTAGAATGTTTTTTGCATTCTAGCCAGCCTTAAGGTACTTTAAATTATATAATTATTCCAATAAATTTGTATTTATAAAAAAAAACATATAATCATGGTGCGAAAATAACTTTTTATATAAAGTTCGAGATATATATATATATACTAAATAATATGCAAGTTTGGGGTACACACCTCACACGGTCACACCCAATTAAAGTTTGGGGCATTCAAATTATTTTTCCCCTTTTTAAATCCCCTGATGGGACTATTTATGTGTGTTTGAACAAATATATCCTTGTAGCTTTTGTACAACGTGCACTTGTACAAATTGTACACATTCAAACATGTTTCAAAAAAGGGAAATTATCATTGACCTCCCTCGAGGTTTCATGTATTATCACTTAGACCCGTGCACTTTTGAAAACATGCGTTTACCCCCCTCCCTATCCTTTAATGAAAATTTAATAACTCATAATTACGTTTAGCAAAATTATAAATTTAGTTTTATAAATTTTTTCACTTGCAGATTTAATCTGATACTCAATCAATTTACCTGTATTAAGAATCTTTCTACCAGAAAGTACTTTTTTTTTTGCAGGAACGCATACTTTCCGATGAAATAGTCCTTACTATTGACAAATTTATTAGGTATTTAACTACATCTACATGTGTGTACAATTACAGAACTAGTAGCAGACACAATCGAAAGGTACAAACTTAAAACAATAAATATCTATTACTTTTAAAAGTTCGAAAATATATATGAGATTGTAGAAATCTTGGTGAAACTTTTCCAATGAGGGAAAGATGCCCAATAACGAGGAATGTTATTTTATACCTAAAATAGATGTTGGTGAAGAACTTTTAGGAGACTATCGTTACCTATTGTTGATTCGTATGGAAAAATGGTAAAAATACCTACTTTTGTGATTCATATTCGGGGAGGACAAGGCCCAGTCTCGAGAATGGCCGAATTTTAAATTAAGGATTCAGGTCGGGACCGATACCAGACCGATGAAAAAGAGGCCTTGTGCCTCACTTTTTGGGACCAGGATTGGAGCCCTTATTTTGACCTCATTCATTTCGTTTCATTAAAACCATTGAGAATATTTTAAGATGGGTTATAGGCTTATAGCCCATTTAAAAGTTGAAAAATAGGTAGTTACAATATTTGAATTATCGGGAGCGAATCTAGACCAATTAGGAGATTGCAACCGATGATAAGGTCATGGGTCGCCCTAATTATTTAGCACTAACCAGTTTGGGTGTGCAACGCGTCCTAAACTATAATTGCTTTACCATTATTTTTACATGTAAACATGTTCAAATTTTGTCAAATATTAATTTGCCGAGTCTACTACTGAGTCTGAAGATTGTTGAACATTAAACTTGTTTTTATTTTCATACTTTGGGCCTAATTAATATTTATTTTAGTTGTTGTTGGAAAGGCCCAAGTAGTAGAAAAGTGTATAAGGAATGAATTCTAGAGCTTCTCTAGAAGACGTGGTCTCTAGAATTTTCCCATCATTAATGGTGTAGAATAATGTAGAGTGTATTAATTGTAGAAGAGTCTAGATACTTTTGTACTAGTATAAATAGAGCTCCACTCATCACCACTTTGTATCAATCAAGAAAATCAAGCAAATTGAGTTGTTCTAATAAAAAGAGTTCTCCCCCTTTGTTCAAATATCTCTTCCATAATCTATTAATTTAGAAACTGTTCTCTTCACCTGATCTGAATGTTTCTGATCCAAATTTTTTAAGTTCTGATCTGATCTGAATTTTTCTGATCTGATCTGATCTGAATCTTTCTGATCTGATCTGAATGTTCCTGATCTGATCTGAATGTTCCTGATTTGATCTGAATGTTCCTGATTTGATCTGAATGTTTCTGATCTGATCTGAATCCTTCTGATCTGATCTGAATCTTTCTGATCTGATCTGATTTGAATATTTCTAAAATTATAATTACAATTATAATTACTATAATTATAAATGTAATTACACATATATAATTTAAATATAATTATAATCATAATTACAAAAATTATAATTATAATTACAAACATAATTATAATAGGTATAATTATTATTATACGTATTACACTAGTTATAAATATAGTTATAATTATAATTGTAATTATATTTATAGTTATATTTATTTCTATAATTATAATTATAATATTTATTTCTATAAATTTAATTGTAATTACTCCGTGTAATATGATAATAACGAAAACAAAACTAATAACAATAACAACAACAACCATATTAGTAGTAAGAATAATAATAATCATGATAGTAATAAATATCATAATAACAATAATAATAATGATAATAATAGTAATAATAATAATAATAATAATAATAATATCTATAATAATATTAATTATAATAATTACAATAACAACAAGAATAATAATAATTATAATTATTATAATTATTATAATTATTATAAATATTATTATAATTATTATTATTATAATAAAAAGGATAAATCATGTCTGAACTTTTCTGATCTGATCTGAACTTTCCTGATGTGATCTCAATGTTCCCGATCTGATCTGAATGTTCCTGATCTGATCTGAATGTTTCTGATCTGATCTGAATGTTCCTGATCTGATTTGAATCTTTCTGATCTGATCTGATCTGAATTTTTCTGATCTGATCTGATCTGAATTTTTCTGATCTGATCTGATCTGATCTAAATAAAATAAGAATAAGCAATAAGTAATAAGATTAAGACGAACAGAACAACTTCTTAGCCTCCCAATTTCCCAAACCTTCCTTCACTTATTTCCAACAGTGGTATCAGAGCCCGTTCAGTCATCACCCAAAAATGGCTGGTTCCCTTCAAGTTCCTCTACTAAAAAAGGAGAACTATGATAATTGAAGCATTCGTATGAAGGCAATACTTGGTTCGGAAGATGTATGGGACATGATAGAGGAAGGCTTCGAGGAACCCGCGGACGTCAACGCTTTAAATCAAACTCAAAAGAATGCATTTAGAAATATTAAAAAGAGAGATCAAAAGGCGCTCTCCATCATTCATCAAGCTTTGGATGAAGCTATGTTCACCAAGGTGGCGTGTGCAACTACAAGTAAAGAAGCTTGGGAGATATTGGAGAATTCTTTCGAAGGAGTAGATAAGGTGAAGAAAGTAAGACTCCAAACTCTTCGAGGTGAGTTTGAATCATTAAGAATGAATTCTTCGAAATCCATTAATGACTATTTCTCAAGAGTTCAAGGCGTCGTTACTCAAATGAGAACAAATGGAGAAGAAATTAAAGACAACCGAGTGGTTGAGAAAATTCTACGATCTTTAGATCCAAAATATGATTACATAGTTGTGGCAATAGAGGAATCTAAAGATCTAGAAACTATGACGCTGGATCAACTCTTGGGGTCTCTTCAAGCGCGTGAAGAAAAACTCAATAAGAGGATAAAAGAAGAGTCATTGGAGCAAGCCCTTCAAACCAAGCTCACCCTAAGGCATAAAGAGACCTTTCAAGATGGTAGAAACCAAAATTCAAGAGGGCGTGGTCGAAGTCAAAGCTATGGAAGAGGTGGCTACAAGACCTTCAACAACGAAGAAAGAAGTAAAAAAAAATTATCCAACAAGAGGCCGAGAAAGAGAGGGGTTTTCAAGATCAAGGTATGATAAACCTCAAGTTCAATGCTATAATTGTCAAAGATTTGGTCACTATGCTTCTGATTGTAGATTGGAAAAAAATGGAGTTAAGGAGCGGACAAATTTTGCCAAAGAAGAAGAAAATTCAACATTGTTGATGACCCATAAAGGAGGAGAAAGTGACGCCAAAATGACTTGGTACTTAGACACGGGAGCTAGCAACCACATGTGCGGGAAGAGAGATATGTTCGTCGAGCTTGATGAATCGGTAAGTGGAAATATTTATTTTGGGGATGAATCAAAAATTCCGGTAAAAGGAAGAGGGAAAGTTTCAATCCGATTGAAAAATGGAAAGAATGTTTTCATCTCTAATGTCTACTATGTGCCTAATATGAAATCAAACATTTTAAGTTTGGGGTAACTTTTGGAAAAAAGGATATGATATTCATTCATATGAAAAATCATACCCTTTTGATGAGAGATAAAAATGGAGTTTTGGTTGATAAAGTACCAATGTCAAGAAATAGAATGTTTTCATTAAACATTGAAAAGGAGGGAGCGAAATGTTTGAAAGCATGTTTAAAAAATGCATCTTGGCTTTGGCATTTGAGGTTTGGGCATCTTAATTTTGGAGGTTTAAAATTGTTGAGTGATAAAAATATGGTGAAAGGCTTGCCCAAAATAAATGAACCTAATCAATTATGTGAGGGATGTTTATTTGGAAAGAAACCAAGGAAAAGTTTTCCAAAGCATGCATCTACAAGAGCAAAACAACCATTAGAGCTTGTACACACGGATATATGTGGGCCAATTAAACAAAGCTCTATCGGAAATAGTAATTACTTTGCTCTTTTCATTGATGATTTTAGTCGGAAAACATGGGTTTATTTAAAGCTCATGTTGAAAATGAAGGCGGGTTTAAGATAAAATCTATGAGATCCGATCGTGGGGGGTAATTCACTTCAAAAGAATTTGTAAATTTCTGTGAAGAAAATGGTATTCATCGCCCCTTAACGGCTCCATATACCCCACAACAAAATGGGGTT